GGACTGCCTTGGAGTGGGTCTTAGTCCCAAATTTTGAGTTATGGTTAGTTTTCATATATTTTTCCAGAGTCTCCCTAATAGAAAGGAGCTGAACCAGCCCCTCATCGGGCCGTATCGTGCCTGTGGGGACGTCCTCCTCCCCACACATGGCCAGAGACCCAGGGAGGGAAGAGAGACAGATAGCAAAAGAATGGCAGTGAAAACTGCCTTTTATTGGACTGCTCTTAGTACCCCCTTAAGAAGGGGGAAAACAGGGCAACCATATTTCAAGAGTTTTTTCCACATTAAATTCCTATCTACAGTATCGAAAGCTGAGTACAAGTCAACAAAAAATGCATAAACTTTTCTCCTTTTTTTCATTAATGTCTTAGTAATAAGAGTATGCAGAATAAAAATATTGTCCAGCGTAGAATATTTTTCACGAAATCCGGCCTGATTCTCAAATAAAACATCGTTTAAATTTAACCAGGTAATCAACCTATAATACAATATATTACAAAATATCTTTGACACACAGTTCAGTAAAGAAATTCCTCTGTAATTACTAGGGATCAACTTAGATCCATTTTTATATACTGGACATAAAATAGCACTACTCCAATCTTTTGGGACTTCCCCAGATCTTAAGATCCTATCAAAGCTTCTAAGCAATATCGGAAAAACAGAATCCATTCTCCAAAATTCAGAAGGTATCCCATCATCCCCAGGCGCAGTACCAACTTTAATTTTATTTAAAACATAACTCAATTCAGAGTTCAAAATATTGCTTCTTTGAGACTACCCAAATCACAGGTTGTCTTTACCCGGACTTTGAGGCTACCGCTAGGGAGGGTCTGGATAGATTTTACACCTATGTTTAAGGTTCTAGGATCTATGTTTTCTTGGAGGGAGTCCATGACCTCTTCTGGGCACAGTCTCTCTCCCTCGGCAGTTTCAATTGGCTCTATGATCAAGTCCTTATTAGAGTTTTGTTGGGAGGCATTGCTCATCACTTCACTGATCATATTGGTTGTTTGACTACAATTAAATTTGCTTTTTTTTTACTATGCTAGCGTAGCTTTCTTGGTTGGTTTGCGGTTTAGATCGTAGAGCAAGCACCATCCCGTATAGGCTATTAGCCACTGCATGCATGTTCATGGCCGCCTCCCGTACGCCTTTTCGGCCCTTGGTAGTTATAGTACCCTGTGAATTCGACGGAATAGTTTCCATAATAATGTTAAGACTGGCTGTGAGTTGTTCGAATAGGTCCTTTTCTGGGAAAGCCATGATGAGAATCACGTGAAAGCCGTCAAGCAGCTACAGACGCTGATCGGCGGAAGGAGCACGAAGGGTGAAGTGAGCCGACCACGTGCAAAGGTCAATGACCTTTCACTTCTTTGTTCAATGAAGATATGAAAACTAGTATAACTTTAAAACTATTAACCGTGGCGACACAGAAATTTATACAGACGAAGACAAGGGTATGGCCAAAG